TCCTGGTTTCAGAACACTTTCTTCCTCTCATTGGACCAGACACAGTGCAGCATTTTGTGGTGTATATTTTAAAGGGGGGAAGGGGATGACAGTGGTGATGTGGTGGTGGTGGTGCTGGTGGGTGAGGGGGTGGGGGGCACGGAGCCAAGTGAAAACATGTCACTCAGGCCCCATTAAAACGTAACCCTGCCCAGCAGAAGAAAGAGACCCATATCATCATTAAGTCATCTCGGGGCGAAGCAAAAACCACAAATATTATTCCTGCAGCCCCCCGAACACCTAACACACACACACACGCATGCTTACACACTCCTCCCTTTTCTTTCCTTTAGATGACAAGGAAGACGGGATGATTGGAGCTGTGCTGTGTTTGCACACTGCCTGAGAATGACAAGAAGATGTTTGGGAACTTCCTGATCCTGGAAAGGTTTATATATTTTTTGATAATTACAAAGTTCAAGCATAAGTGAGTGACTATCTATCTATCTATATAGAAGTTTTTCTCTCAGCCCACAAAAAATTACAACATTTCACAGAAAAGCAACACAAATTCATATTCATGAATTGATGACATGTGATTTACTTAAAATTACTGAATTATCCCAAAAAAAGACATGCAGTTATTCATTTTAGCTCTCCATTAGTGTATGCATACCTCACATCCTCTGAGTGTAACAGAGATGTTTTGTACAATCCAACTTTAGACCTGCACTACGCTTTGAGCTGATGCGTGTGTTTGTGTTTGAAGCACACATGCACAGAGCCTTCCCCTGAAACCAGGGGGTATTTGTGACGTTCAGCATTATGAAAAATGACTTGCCCCCGTGGCACACTGGGGTGGCAGTGATTATAATATCCAGATAATCATTTCAAACAAATTATCATAATTATCAATCAATCATGAGCCTATTTAAGCAGGCGGAGGCATGGGGGAGTGTGAGGCTGTTGGACGAGGGTAAACCATGGCCCGAAGCGCTGGATCACTTCTGTGACCCATGAGTCTCCCTCTGTCCACATAATAGCCCTCATGCATTTAGGGTCATTTAGCTTGTGTATTTAGAGACTCAATTCCCCAGCTTGATATGGAGAAGAAAAAAAAGATACTCAGTGTGTGTGCACACACACCCATAGACTCAGAGCTGCAGCTGATCCCCATTTGGCTCCCTAGGCTTTCAACATGGAATGGGAAAAACCTACTAGGTCAAAGTTCATGTCAACCGATGTCATATTCCAATTTGCAAACTGCATTTACCCTGCAGATTAAATAAAGTCTGGTGCTTAAATGTGAATAAAAGTATATATGAGGGTCCCTGCCGAGCACAGAATGAAGACATGTTTCACTATGAGGAATGCATCAATGCAATATTGATACATTAGGTGACTATGCCCACCTATTGTCAGACAAAAAAGAGAGGAAGAGCGACAAGGAGAGTAACAGATTTAAGAGATCGTCTTAAACAGATATTTCCCTGTATCGTTTCACAGAAAATCCCCTGTGAAAAGCAGTGTGAATTGATTCAATCTCAGTGGTATTGAGAGGTGAATGAATGGGTCTTGGCGAGAGAGACAGAGAAATTGAGAGAGAAAGAGAGATAGAAAGAGAGAGAGATAGATAGTAGCCCTTCGGGGGAGATGATCGTCTTGGGAAAAAAGCAATCAGTGCTCATTGATTTTCTCTGCTGGTTGAATGGAGGGTGTCTATCTGGAAGTCATTATCTGCCATCTGATCTGCTGGAGTGTTTACACACGTCGGTGTGGACAGCAGCGCTCTTCTGAAGATGAGGATTAACACACACAGAGACCCACAGACAGACGAACACGCACACACTGCACAGACTGTGGTCTTTCCCCCTGCTCCGTATCTAACTACCACCCTTAAATCCAAGAAATCCAAAAAGAAACACAAGTCCTCCAATACCCTATTAATGTCCACACACACACATACACTTAAGTGTATGAGTGTGTGTGAAAGGGAATATACATAAGCAGGGCCTAGACAGCTAAACAGAGAGATAGTCCTGTTTTGTATAGCCAGACCAGACCAAGCCAAACAATCCCTGATCCTATCACCAATAGCCCCTGATAGCAATCTATAGCTACAACAACACCATCCTATGTGTCGAGAAAAAGAGATGGATAAAATGAATGGAAGAAGATGGAGAGAGTAAGCAAAGGAGGGATTCAGATAACAGACCTTTTTATTTGCCGTGTGTGTCTGTGGTGTAAAGATGCATGCATGGAAGCCAGTAAAAAACGTCATACATACAAACATCGACACTCACAGGCATACACACACACACACACACACACACACACACACACACACACACACACACAGCTATAAGGTCAGCACTGAGCAGCTTTTAGTAAGTGGAAGAAAGAAGCTGCAGTATTATCTTTGCTTCAATTTTATCCCCTGCCTTATCCCTGGCTCTAATGGTGCCTCCCTCTAGCCTTTACTCATCTTTGAGACTGACACATTAATATGAAATTTAACTGGAATGTTAGCACAAGGAAAGGACAAACTTAATTTATATTTCTATATAAGATTACAGTAGGGTTACTATTAAATCTCTTGCAATGTGAGAGAGCGTGTGCTGATTTAGATTTTTTCTTTTCTGATCTATTTGTGCTTTTATTTTTCTTGAAATTTCATTTATTTTGTTAATCTAATTTTTATTTGCTGCATAGTTTTCTACAAAAAAGAAAGTCATATATTACTATGCAAAATTACCATAAAATTACACGATCCAAAGAACCAAAAGTGAGTCATATTCTCATCTTATTCTTTAAGTCATACACTTCTGCCCATTTTGTGCAGGGGCTGGTAACCTGCCAATACAAAATAATCTGAAATCGTTAACGGTAACGCAATAATACACACAGTGGCAGTATGTAGATATGCATTACTATATATAACATATACATATATAGATAGATAGATAGATAGATAGATAGATAGATAGATAGATAGATAGATAGATAGATAGATAGATAGATAGATAGATAGATAGATA